TTATAAGGAAATGATTAATATTACAATTATTTCCTGAAAAACTGTTTATAAAATTCCAACTGACAATAATGCTAACTGTTCAGTCAATGAATGTTGAATATATTCTGCATGTTAATGGTTGATTTTACCAATACCATTCCATGCTTTAAGTTATGCAGACTTTTGGACAGCACTTCATATTGGCTAATAAGAAGTAACAGCCTGATAAATATGCAACCAGTCTCCAGACTATTAATTAAAAAGGCTATACTTGGTCGAGAGAGCAACACAATATCAGATATACGGTGGTCAGTACGCAGAAGAGCTACTTAGATTTTCAACTTTATATTGGGGGGGGGTAAAAATAGATGCTGGGTAGATGGAACTGACCAAATGTGTGATCTTAAAAAATGTCTAGAAGATTAGAAATAACTTTTATTATTAATACAGATATATATATATGTTTAAGTCCTATTTTATTTTGCTTTTAATACTGATAAAACATAGATTGTATGTTAAAAGAAATAAAAAGAAAGTATTTATTTTGCCTTCTTTATTTCTAGACAATTACCCAGAACCACTTATGAATAGGCCAGTCCATTCATGATAGTAAGGACGGTAACTGGTTTTAAACCCAACAGTAGGAAAAAAAATTGTCTATTTAAAATACTACATTTATTAGAAAATATATTTAGTTTAAATACAGGATTCATAAAAATGACTTAAAAAATATGCACATTTTGTCTTATGTGCTTTTCCTGTTACCCATGAGTTGTTGCCAAATAGAAAGTGAAATTAACTCTCACAACACAGGCATCTATCTCAATTTTACTTACATGACAGATCTAAAAATACTTTTTGCCTAAATATCTGGGATGGGGAGTTATTATTTACATGATTTACATGCTGACTATTGTCCTTTTTATTTTTATCAGAACATTTCAGCCATTGTGCTCTTCAGCCTTCGTCAAGTGTATATCGGTCTGGGTAACCTACAGGGAATTCTGTACTGAACCCTTTATTTAATCTACAGGAGTAGACTGTTCTTGTTTCATTACCAATGTCTAGGGATTAAAAATGAATAACGCCAAACAATATCAAATAAATGACAATTTCATTGAATGTATTGAGAAAAAGGAATTTGTTGTAATGTGGGGTCTGGCAAAACACAACAGAGGCATTCGTGATAGTAATATTCAATCCTCAGCTAGATAAGCCACTCCAATAGTATTATATCCTTCCCTCCATAGACAATTACCCAGGATAACTTATCATGAATAGGTCAGTCCATTTATGATAGAAAGGAGGGTAAATTGCTTTTACAAGAACAGAATTACAATTTCAATAAAAGAAGAAAACATTTAAAGATTTTTACATAGAAAGGAATTTAAACTAGCTTTAAGAGAATGTGCGTTTTTGTGTGTGTGAAATTTGTATATGTGATAGACACGTGTGTGCAAGAGTTCAAAATTCAAGAGGGAAAAAGAAAATCGAACGCGACCCTATTGGCCGTTTTCCAACTGTACGTAGACTATATCTTAAAGCCAGAGTAAAAAAAGAGTCGCGAGAGAGAAAGGCACGCCTTTTTTTAGGCTTTTTGACGGGTCCTAGCAAAGTCAGGTGGAATAACCCACGAATTCACTCTCATTTCATCCGTATACCAAATGTAAGGAGTAAGATCCACTCAGAAATGGTTTCTCTAAAAAAAAAGTGGACAAAATTCCGACATGAATTCATCTATGAATACAACAATCTCTACCTTTGCTTTTTTGTTATATATTTTCTTTTTGTTTTCATAATGTCCACTTCCTTCCACATCCTCTCACAGATTACATTTACTAATCCTCTACCTCGAGTGGCTGTCGGGCCTTATATTGGTTGAACATTAGTTTTCAAAAATAGAGATATTCTTTATCTATTGTTCTGATTACTACCGTTTCAAGTACTCTGAGTAAGCCTCAGGAATTAAAAAGAAAACATTGTTTACTAAATAATTATCCCAAACGCTAAAGGGTGTGATACAGCCAATTGAGATATGCCAAAAAAAGCGTAAAAAGATTCATTTAAGTATAAATCGTAAACACTTCGTAATTGTTGAACAAGTTTTCATTTGGCCTGTTAAGGAATAAATTAATATCAGATCTTCTGATGTTTTCCTGTTTTTAACAGTCCTTTATTCAAAAACTTATTTCATGGACACATGTAAACACTAAACATCTAAATAGTAAACATCTATACACTAAACGTCTAAACGCTAAAAACCAAAATTATTTCATGGACACATGTAAACAATGAACATCTAAATAGTAAACATCTAGACACTAAACGTCTAAACGCTAAAAACCAAAATTATTTCATGGACACATGTAAACAATGAACATCTAAATAGTAAACATCTAGACACTAAACATCTAAACGCTAAAAACTTAACTTATTTCATGGACACATGTAAACACTAAACATCTAAATAGTAAACATCTAGACACTAAACATCTAAACGCTAAAAACTAAAATTATTTCGTAGGCATATGTAAATGTTAAACATCTAAACACTTAGCATCAAAACCCTAAACATCTAAAAAAATTAAACACTAAGCATCTAATAAGTAAACTTATTTCATTGACATATGTAAACGTCTAACCACTAAACTTCGGAACAATAAACATGTAAAAATTTAATATCTAAACAGTAAACATCTAAACGCTAAACACTAAACTTCTAAAAACTAAACTAATTTCATGGATATATGTGAACATCTAAACGCAAAACACTAAACATCTAAAATCTAAATTTATGTCATGAACAAATGTAAACGCTTAACATCTGAACATTAAACATCTAAAAACTAAACTTATTTCATGGACATATCTAAACACTAATCACTAAAAATAACGATCTCAACACTAAAAACCTGAACACTAAAATCTAAAACGTAAACTTATTTCATAGAGACATGTAAACACTAAACATCTAAAGACTAAACTTCTAAACGCTAAACATCTAAATACCAAATTTTTAAACACTCAATATCTAAAATTAAACACTAAACCTATAAACACTAAACTTCTAAACACTAAATATCTAAAAAAAAATAATTACTAAATACTAAACATCTAAAACTACACAGCTAAAAACTAAACATCAAAACATCAAACATCTAAACACTAAACATCTAAACACTAAACAGGCACACGAAAACTAATTACCAGCTAAATGATCATTTTTGGCATTATTTTTAAATAGTTTTTTTTATTTTTTATTTTGACGGAAAGTTGAAATTTGGAAAAAGTTGTGAAAGGACATCGAGAAAATGGATGAGATTAAAGGGAGCGTAACAAAGAAAGAAGCAATGATGCATTGTGAAAGATAAAAGAAAAAATATTTTTAGGAAAGAATGAAATTGTGGCTCGGGCTTCTAGAAAGAAAGAAAGAAAGAAAGAAAGAAAGAAAGAAAGAAAGAAAGAAAGAAAGAAAGAATGGGGAAACAGAAAGAAAGAAAGAAAGAAAGAAAGAAAGAAAGAAAGAAAGAAAGAAAGAATGGGGAAACAGAAAGAAAGAAAGAAAGAAAGAAAGAAAGAAAGAAAGAAAGAAAGAAAGAAAGAAAGAAAAGAAAGAAGAAAAAAAAGAAAGAAAGAAAGAAAGAAAGAAAGAAAGAAAGAAAGAATGGGGGAAAGAAAGAATGAAAAAAAAGAAAGAAAGAAAGAAAGAAAGAAAGAAAGAAAGAAAGAAAGAAAGAAAGAATGGGGAAACAGAAAGAAAGAAAGAAAGAAAGAAAGAAAGAAAGAAAGAAAGAAAGAAAGAAAGAATGGGGAAACAGAAAGAAAGAAAGAAAGAAAGAAAGAAAGAAAAAAGAATGGGGAAACAGAAAGAAAGAAAGAAAGAAAGAAAGAAAGAAAGAAAGAAAGAAAGAAAGAAAGAAAGAAAGAAAGAAAAAGAAAGAAAGAAAAAGAAAGAAAGAAAGAAAGAAAGATGGAAACAGAAAGAAAGAAAGAAAGAAAAAGAAAGAAGGAAAAAGAAAGAAAGAAAGAAAGAATGGGAAACAGAAAGAAAGAAAGAAAGAAAGAAAGAAAGAAAAGAAAGAAAGAAAGAAAGGGGAAAAAGAAAGAAAGAAAGAAAGAAAGAAAGAAAAAAAGAATGGGGAAACAGAAAGAAAGAAAGAAAGAAAGAAAGAAAAGAAAGAAAGAAAGAAAGAAAGAAAGAATGGGGGAAAAGAAAGAAAGAAAGAAAGAAAGAAAGAAAGAAAGAAAGAAAGAATGGGGAAACAAACAGAAAGAAAGAAAGAAAGAAAGAAAGAAAGAAAGAAAGAAAGGATATGATAGATAATCAAAAAATAAATGAGAAAAAAAAGAAAAAATATGAAAGATAAAAGAAAAAAGAGGTGGAAGAAAAATAAAATAATTGTAGGACAGAATCAAAGAAAGAAAGTAAGGGGTAGGCTTGTAAAAAGAAAAAAAGTGGGTATTGAAGAAAATAAGGGGAAAGAAAGAAAGAAAGAAAGAAAGAAAGAAAGAAAGAAAGAAAGAAAAAAGAGGTAGGCTCAAAAAAAAAAAGTGGGAATAGATGGAAGGAAAAAAAGGATGGAAAGAAAGAAGGAAAGAAAGAAAAAAGTAAGGGTAAAAAAGTAAGGGTAAAGAAAGAAAGAAAGAAAGAAAAAAAAAAGAAAGAAAGAATGGGAAAACAGAAAGAAAGAAAGAAAGAAAGAAAGAAAGAAAGAAAGAAAGAAAGAAAAACAGAAAGAAAGAAAGAAAGAAAGAAAAAAGAAAGAAAGAAAAAGAAAGAAAAGAAAAAGAATGGGGAAACAGAAAGAAAGAAAGAAAGAAAAGAATGGGAAACAGAAAGAAAGAAAGAAAGAAAGAAAGAAAGAAAGAAAGAAAGAAAAGAAAGAAAGAAAGAAATGAATGGGGAAACAGAAAGAAAGAAAGGATATGATAGATAATCAAAAATAAATGAGAAAAAAAGAAAAATATGAAAGATAAAAGAAAAAGAGGTGGAAGAAAAATAAAATAATTGTAGGACAGAATCAAAGAAAGAAAGTAAGGGGTAGGCTTGTAAAAAGAAAAAAGTGGGTATTGAAGAAAAGAAAGAAAGAAAGAAAGAAAGAAAGAAAGAAAGAAAGAAAGAAAGAAAGAGGTAGGCTCGTAAAAAAAGTGGGAATAGATGGAAGGAAAAAAGGATGGAAAGAAAGAAGGAAAGAAAGAAAGAAAGTAAGGGTAAAGAAAGTAAGGGTAAAGAAAGAAAGAAAGAAAGAAAGAAAGAAAGAAAGAAAGAATGGGGAAACAGAAAAAAAGAAAAGAAAGAAAGAAAGAAAGAAAGAAAGAAAAAAGAAAGAAAAGAAACAGAAAGAAAGAAAGAAAGAAAGAAAGAAAGAATGGGGAAACAGAAAGAAAGAAAGAAAGAAAGAAAGAATGGGGAAACAGAAAGAAAGAAAGAAAGAAAGAAAGAAAGAAAGAAAGAAAGAAAGAAAGAAAGAAAGAATGGGGAAAAAGAAAGAAAGAAAGAAAGAAAGAAAGAAAGAAAGAAAGAAAGAAAGAAAGAATGAAAGAAAGAAAGAATGGGGAAACAGAAAGAAAGAAAGAAAGAAAGAAAGAAAGAAAGAAAGAAAGAAAGGATATGATAGATAATCAAAAATAAATGAGAAAAAAAGAAAAATATGAAAGATAAAAGAAAAAGAGGTGGAAGAAAAATAAAATAATTGTAGGACAGAATCAAAGAAAGAAAGTAAGGGGTAGGCTTGTAAAAAGAAAAAAGTGGGTATTGAAGAAAATAAGGGGAAAGAAAGAAAGAAAGAAAGAAAGAAAGAAAGAAAGAAAGAAAGAGGTAGGCTCGTAAAAAAAGTGGGAATAGATGGAAGGAAAAAAGGATGGAAAGAAAGAAGGAAAGAAAGAAAGAAAGTAAGGGTAAAGAAAGTAAGGGTAAAGAAAGAAAGGAAAGAAAGAAAGAAAGAAAGAAAGAAAGAAAGAAAGAAAGAAAAATATTTAAATAACTAAGGGAAAACGTGAAGAAAAATGAAAAGTATGAAAGAAAAAAGAGAAAAAGGTGAAAGAAAAGGAAAATAATTTTAAAACACTTAGGAAAAGAAAAAGAAAAATACAACGAGAAAATAAGGGGTGGGGGGGTCTTTTAAAGAAATAAAACGTAGCGCTCGAACGAAAGAAGAAAGGAAAAGAAAGTAAGTGTAAGACATTCAATGAAGGAAAGAAGAATGAATGGGTGGAAGGAAAGAATGAAAATAAAGTCTGGGTAGTAAAAGAAAGAAAGAAAGAAAGAAAGAAAGAAAGAAAGAAAGAAAGTATAACGAATTAAATTGTAAAAATATGGTCTTCTTCAAAGGAGAATAAAAAAAAGGAAAGAAAGCTTATAACTAAAGACGAAGAAGATAAGGGAAGTGTAAAATCGAATGTAGAAGAAAGAAAAAAAATCAACTAAATAAATGCAGGAAATTTCAAATGATGAGAAGCTGTTGATAGGGTTGTGGAGCCGTGAAGGCCTGAAATGAGAAATTATAGGCGAGAGAAAGAGAAAAGAGGCGGGCAGGATTGCTGTGGAAGACAGAAAAGCTATTAATCGTCGATATTTCAATGTGTCGGCCATTTTTCTACAAAGCTAATAACAGGCGGGAAAATAGTCCCCCATTACTCTCGCTTGCATTTCACCACACCACACCACTATCTGGCAGTTTTTAGCAAAGTAAACAAAAATCACAGACAAAATACATAGCCAAAAAGGATTCTACATCAGTTTTATAGCTTGACTTTCAGTATCACTTGTCGATTAATTATAATATTAATGATGAATATATGATGAATATCTTTTCAGACAAAACTCTTGAAAATATTATCTCAAATTATTTTTGATATACAATCGGCAACAAAAAAAAGACAGGAACAGAATATATCAATTAATATCTACAATGTTTTTAAGCTGGTGGATTTCGAAAACAAATAAAGAGTGATTTTCCAAGCGTAGCTTAGATGTGGCGTATGAATGAAAGTATGGGACACCCAGTGAGGATCGAACTCTCTACTCACTCGTAATTGTTCTCGCGAGACAAGCTTACTATTACACCACCTTGGGGTGCCCAAAAGTTATTTTCCAAGCGTAGTTTAGATGTGGCACAAGGCCGAAAAAAATGGGGCAACCAGTGAGAATCGAACTCACTACACAATCGTAATACTTCTAGCGAGACAAACTTGCGAACCATTGCACTACGTCCAAGTACACCGAATAAAATAAACAATGAATTTTGTAATGAAAAAATTTGTCCTATATTTAAGGTACATACCTACCTGCATTTTCTTGTCGATCATGGCTCTCCACAATTTCCTGCCCATTTATCGCTCTTACATTTTTTATCTCTCCTAAACTCTGTTTTGCTATACACTTACAAAAGCTCATTAGGCAGTTTATGTATCGTTTTTCTCTCTCCATATTGTCTTTAATATGTCCCGTGAGTATCAAATTTTCCAAACCTTCCTTCCTCATTATGTTTCTTTAGAAATTTCAATCGTCACCTTTTGATATTATGTAGAAGTATCCTTTTTTTCGCTAAAAGTTTGACATTTCTCACATGTTTAATCTATGGTATTCTCAGCATCCTTCTGTAGAACCATATTTCTGTTACTTCAAATCTTTTCACCCTTTGAAGAGATTGTTCAGCACTTACTAACATACTGATATTGCATAACAGTTAAGTAGTCTTGCTTTTGTTTCCAATAACATTTTTCTGTTTCTTCATAATGTTCCCTCATCAGTACTGGCAACAGTATTTACATTTAGTGGACTTAAGAAACATATTTTCCTGAAAAAAATATTTTAATAGAAATATTCTATAAATCACCACCGACAGGAGCATAGGCTGCTCGGCCAATGAATGTCGAATATTTCCTTATTAGGAAAAGGCTAATATTACCATTGTCATTAGAGATCAGGCTAACAGATACTACACTTTGACACCAGCCTGATGGCCAGGGATTGAAGAAATCGAAACCCGAATTGAACTGGCTGTTTGATCAATGAATGTCGACTGTTTCCTTATAATGAACGGCTAATATTATCTCAAACCTTTAACCGTTCTGTAACCTCTACCAGTATTGGCTCTCGAGCCTTGAATTCAGTGATTATTTTTAATTTTTAGTTGAGTTAAAACGTTTTAATATTTGCGGTTGGCAATTTTGATCCAGAATGATATTTTTCACATCTGGAATTGTGCAAAATAGCAATTCTGTGAATTATATACAAAGTGAGATAGACAGGTAGATAAATAGAGAGAGAGAGAGAGAGAGTAGAGGGGAATTCAAGGTCCTAGAATTAAAAAAATAACAAGACTTCGTTATTTTGCAAAAATGTCAGACATATCCAAAGTTGAGTATCATTTTTAATCTTGATGAAGTGTTAGTGGAGCCATTAATGGCAATTGACCTATTGATATATCTCTTTTTTTTTCTTGTAGATTTGACTTATTGGGCAGATGTTTACGACAGCTCTGTATTTGTAAATGTTGGGGGTCGGGAAGGATTCGCCTTCCTAACTGAGGTCGAATAAATAAATCAATTAAAAAATGTAATGTTACCACTACCTAAAATTCCAACAATTTTTCTCTTTTACAATTGATAAATTGTTGCCATATTTATTTAAATTTCGCATTATCATATCAAAAGTGTTTATCAGGCAAATATCAGAGATTTGTAATCATACACTCTCAGAAAGAAGCATCGAGTGTCTATTCTGTTATGCCTCTAGATTCTTTGGGGAATATAGAGCCTCAACAACACATCTGTATTGGAAGTGTTTCATGGCGATCCTCTTCAGCTTGGCCTATGTCGTACCGGCTGCCTTCCCTTCTGCATCAACACTTCTGCGCCAAGTCTGTTTTTCAGGCATTTCGCTTGCCTTGCGGATTCCAGTCAAGGGCCTGCCTGGTGACACTAGAAGCAGGCTTGTGCAGTGTGTGTTCGATCCATCCCCATGTTCGTTTCTCTCTTGCCTCTTGATTCCTTGGGGAACATAGGACCGCAACAACAGCTCTTCAACGGACACAGTTCCGGGCGATCTACTTCAGATCGGCCTATGTCATGCCGACTGCCTTCACCTATGCATCAACACTTCTGCGCTAAGTCTGTTTTGGTCGACCCACCTTTCGCTCCTCTTGTGGATTCCAGTCAAGAGCCTGCCTGGTGACACTAGAAGCAGGCTTGCGGAGTGTGTGGCCGATCCATCACCATCGAGAATGGCTTTCGTATTTAACCTGCATATAAATCGTATATTTACGGAAGGTAATATTAACCCTTTCCTTATGAGGAAATAATCAGTATTCATTGAGCGAGAAGCCAATTCAATATGTTACACCATTACGGCAATGAATGCTGGACAATCTCCTCACAGATGTAGAAAGGACGGCTATTTGAAAGAGTGCTTCTCCAGTCCTCGGTGAAGCGCGCAGCCGAGTTCGCTCGGTTTGTCCGACATGGTGACTTACGGTCCTCCTGCCTCTGGGACCAGTCGAGTCCACTGAAGAAATTGGATTTAGAAAATTTGATACACACATAATATACTGATTTCGTATAATCATGTCAAAAGTGTTTACTTGGCAAATGTTGGAGGAGATTTTTAATTGTTCGCTCCCAGAAAGAAGCATCGAGTATCTATTCTATTATGCCTCTAGATTCTTTGGGGAATATAGGGCTGCAACAACCCCTCTGCAACGGGCGTAATTCCTGGGAATCCTCTTCAGCTCGGCCCATGTGGTGCCGTCTGTGTTCACCTCTGCGTCAAGTCTGTTTTGGTCGACCCACTTGATTCCAATCAACGTCCTGCCTGGTGACATCGACAATCACTTTCATATTTAACCGGCATATCAGTCAGTGCCATGCGTGGTACACGATTAGGCGATCATTTATCTTTCGATAAATGACTGACGAAGCAGATTTTTTTCTTGCAGTAGGTTACCATTTTATTCTGCGATAGACTAGTTGCCACCCAAGGCTATAGAACCTGGTCTGTGCTGCTATTTACCCATATCTGGCGTGAGAAGATTCATCCCTTCCTCAAGGGTATTAGTACGTAAATGAATGTAATGGATTTAACTGGAATTTGAACATGGCTCTCTGATTCCTCAATCCAAGCCACTATCCATTACTCCACCATGCCTCCTTGAAAACTGAGAATATTTTTCATACCTTATTTTCCTTTCTTCGCTTTTTGCCTGTATCATCTCCTTTTCCCTTATCCCTTTCAATCTTTGTTGCCCACCTATACTTTTAGCAGTTCTAACTTCACAAGAGATGAAAATTTATAGAACACTAGCTTGAACTGGGAAAATTCCCTAAGTGTTGACAGTTATGTGCCATGTATGATACACGTTTAAGCGAGCATGTATCTTTCGATACATGACTGACGAGGCAGATTTTTTTCACGCAATAGGTTGCCATTTCTTTCTGTAGTAGACCAGTTGCCATCCAAGTCTATAGAACTCGGTCTGTCCTGCTATTTACCCATAGCTGGGGGAAGAAGATGATTTATACCTTTCCCAAGAGTATTAGCACGTAAGTGAATGTAATAGATCCAACTTGAATTCGAACTCGGCTCTCTGATTCCTTAATCCGAGCCGCTAGCCATTACTCCACCTTGCATGCATATAATACGTACTTTTGCAATTTCCGGATGGTAATATTAGCCCTTTCCTTATAAGGAAATAATCAGTATTCAATGAAGAGACAGAAATGAGGTTCGAAATAAGGATGCTGAAGTCCTACAGAAAATGGAAAATGGAAAATGATATTATACTTAAAATCGGAAAGAGACTGCTTCGCTTTGGGACTTGCAGATCGCAAGTCCGGGGGACAACTCGAGTTTTCTTAGTTGATTTTCCAACTTTGTGAAATTCTATTCGTCCGCAGAGAATGGTGCGCCTCTCACTGGCGGCCGCACCAACGCCAACCCGTGTTGCGCGCTCGACCACTCAGTTAGCCGGCCTGCCCACCGACCGACCACGCCGCGTAGTAGCCCGACCTCGCGCAAGCAAGGAGCCGTCGATTACAATGATTTTTGACCAACTTTGCGAAACGATGCTTCTCAAGCCCGTGGGACCCCCATTCCTCGGAGAAGCGCGCAGCCGAGTTAGCTTGGTCTGCCCGACTTTAAGACATACGGTCCGCCCATCCAGGTGACCAGTCGAGTTCACTGAGGAAATTGGACTTTGCAAATTTGAAATTCATATAACACCTCCCTGTCTGCCTCCTATCAGCATGGTTGATGGTCAACTCCACGAGAGCGTCTCACTGCGCCATCTAGATCTCAGGTTTTCCACAGACCTGAGGTGAAACAACTACATTGAATCAATAGATACATCTACTGCAAGGAAAGTTTGTTCTCTGTGAGTCCATCCTTCACATCTACAAATCTACCATTGTCTGATACCCCGACTGTTCATCTCGACAAAATCCAAACGTGGATATGCAGTGTGATAGGTCCTGCTCTGGCACCATGATTCCAGTCACTATCTCACAGATTTAATGTGGCTTCTCTCTGTCCTTTCTACAAATATTTTCATGGCAACTGCCCTGACGAGCTACTTTCACTGATACCGCAACTGCATGAATTTGAGTTCGCTACTAGGTTGGCATTTCCGTCCCACCCTTTCACTGTCTAAACAGCTAAATGTAACAGCTTCTTCAATTCCAACAGCTTCTTCTCTTGCACTTCCCGTCAGTGGAACTCCCTTCCTCTTACTTGCTTCCCTGATAGCTATAATCTTCAAATATTCAAATGTAAAGTCAATCGATATCTTCTGAGGCCTTAAACTTGATCCCCGTCCTTCTCTATATCCTTTCCTCAAACACCCCTCTTAACTCTTGCTCTCACTCTCCGCAACCCCTTGTATGCTAGTGACACCCCCGCCTTGTTTGGGGTGAAATGCTTAAAAAATATCCCATTCTCTGATGAAGCTTTAATAAAAATGATATATGTTAGATTGATAAACAGGGATTATTTGTTTTGTTTTTTTTTTTTAAATCTATTGAAATAAACGTATATGGCAAGTGCTCTGATGAGCTAATTTCATGGTACCCCAACAGCATGAATTTAAGCCTGCTACTAGGTTGGCATCTCCGTCTTTCTCTTTAATTCCAACCGCTTCTTTCGCACTTCCCGACGATGGAACTCTCTTCCTCTTACTTGTTTCCCTAATAACTGTAATCTTTAAATATTCAAATGTAATGTCAATCGACATCTTTTGATGCCTTGATTTTGATCCCCGTCCACTTCTTTATCCTTTCCTTAAACACGCCTCTTTACTCTTGCTCTCAATCTCTGTAACCCCTTCTGTGCTAGTGGCACTCTCACCTTGCTTGGGATGAAATGCTATATATATATATATATATATATATATATATATATATATATATATATATATATATTTGGTTGAATTGATGTGAGTTTGTGACCCTGGGTTTCACGCTTTTTGCGATCACGATCGAAAAGCGTGAAACCCAGGGTCACAAACTCACAGCAATCCAACTAAATACGTTAGCTCTATCTTTGATATTGAGCGCTTTCTAATTAATTATATATATATATATATTTATTTATATTCATATACATACATTTTCACACACACACACACACACACACATATATATATATATATATATATATATATATATATATATATATACTGAACGCAAGAGAAACAAAGGAAAACATTGCATAACCTACCTAACAGACTTGTGTAAATGGTTGGCAGAACAGGTTGTATGAGTGGTTGCCAAATGAGAAAAAAATAAGTCCACTAAACGTAATCACTCTTGACATACTGATGATGGCTTCCTTCCAAATCTTTTCTTTGTTTGTGAATCAACATCTTGATTACATTATTTTCTCTTCGATTTTAACTGACGACTGAAAGTGAAATCCGAAGACCCATTGGGATAGTGAATGATTCATTGCAAACGCTATGAATATTATAAATAAACAAAAAAAATCATTAGAAACGAAAAAAATCGTAGACATTCCCCATGGAAGTAAGTGGACAGTCTCCTCACAGATGAAGAAGGGATTTGAAGCAACAGAACTATGGTTCTACAGAAGGATGCTGAGAATACCATAGACCAAACATGTGAGCAACGACGAGGTTTTAGAGAAAATGGAAACAAAAAGGGACACTTCAACAGTTTATATTTCTAGGGCACATAACGAGGAAAAAAGGCTTAGAAAATTTGTATTAATCGAGGGAAATGCCATCCCTAGTACTGTAGGCCCGCTGCCATATAAATCTAGAGTAATATATATATATATATATATATATATATATATATATATATATATATATATATATAGAGAGAGAGAGAGAGAGAGAGAGAGATAATATTAGTTGTCAATATACATACATATATATATATATATATATAATATATATATATATATATATATAAATATATAACTATATATATATATATATATATATATATATATAAATCTATAGAAATAAATTTCCAAAAGGATACAATCGAAGTAGTATTCAATGTCCAGGACAGAGTAATAATATAATAAAAAAGCTCAAACACTAATATTCCATGGTTATAATTTATTGCATTGGAATCGTAAACACGATCCAACTCATCAGACCTATAAATTCAAAAAGAAATCGGAAAATGTAACTCCGGGTATAAAAAACAAAATTTTAGTGAGGGTGTATGTGTTGGAGTGGAGAACAAGTGTGAGAGGGAAATGTATGAAAGCTCTAGAGAGAGGGTGTAATAGAAGAAAGAAGAACAGGAAGCCCTGAAGGGGAAGGTGCGGGTTGAAATTTAACAGAGAGAAGTTTTAAAGAGAGGAGTTAAATAACGGTTTAAATGAGTGAGATACAGAAAAATATGAATTATTTTTCGATGGATAATTCGCTACCGAATCGCAGACCTACATTAAAATAAAAAAAACAGACACCAGAAACGTGTGTATACATTTGTGGTGACACTACGCCCAATAAAAAACGATATGATCTAAAGAGGAGAGAAAATAAATGATGGGTTGGGTTCAAACTAAAAACAAATGGTATTTATAAGAGAACCGATGTGTAATAAAGAAAATTTGAGAAAGCAAGTAATATCAACTACAGGTTACAAATTTAACATAAACTTATAAAATCTAACTAATATTTTATCTAGTAAGGACCTATTTTTTACATGCCCAAAAACGTAGATACACATATACAAAACATATATATATATAATATAAGAAAGACGAGGCGAAGAAAAAGGCGGAGGGGAAAAATGACGTGGAGGAAAATTAGAAGAAAAAGAAGGAGGATCAGGAGGAGAAAGACAGACGAAGTGGATTAAAAGGTGGAGGTGAAAAATGACGTGGAGGAAAATTAGAAAAAAGATGAGGAGAAAGAAAGAAACATGAGGCAGAGAAGAGGGTGGAGGTAAAAAAGGACGTGGAGGAAAATTAGAAGAAAAAGGAGGAGGAGGAGAAAGAAAGAAAGACGGGGCGAAGAAAAAGGTGGAGGTGAACAATGACGTGGAGGAAAATTAGAAGAAAAAGAAGAAAGGAAGGTGAAAAGAAGAAAAAAGAGAAGGTGGAGGAGAAGAACGAGGAGAAAAATTGGAAGGTGAAGAAAATAAAGAAAATGAAAAGGGAAGCAACCCAAACATGCTTATTTCTCAAACACGTTAAAATTATATTATCAATTATTCAATGTGATTTACATTTATCTTAAATTTTTGTTGTATTTTATAGCAACTCTAAACAAATATATTGCGACTTCTTATCGGTTTGGTTTGGTTTAGTTGAATGAATTATTTAATGCCGACAAGATTTTTATTATATGTAATATTTTTCTTCCAAAAATGTATTACTGGTAATATTTTCCAAAAATTTATTGCTGGTAATAATTTTATTGCTGTTATTAAAACCTACTTTTGCACTTTCATGGTGTTTTGACGCCAGTTTAGTGGTGAACTATTTGCCCATAGCTGGGACCCTAACAGGTGTTACCACCGCGGGTCAGGGTAGACCTGGGAACACAAGCAATTAAGAGGCGGCTCCACTCTCCTCCTGATCAGAGGCCTTGATGTTTGACGTAGTTCATCATCTTACCCAGGACGCAGATGTAGTTTATCATCATACCCAGGACGCTTCGATTTGTCTTCAAAGAATATCGGCGCTATAATCCATAAGATGCGGATAAATAATACCCACGTGGCACGTTCTTTTCCAGCATACTCGCTCTTAAACGATATTAGATGGTTCGAAAAGTTTTATTTTCGCATAAAGATGCTGAATCTAGCTAAAAAAAAAAAAGTGAACTTAAAAATTACAACTGAAGAAAAGAGTAATTAATGGTACTTGCGCACTCCTCAAAACCACCTGATCAAAGGCCTTCCTGTCGGATGTAGTTTATCGTCTTACCCAGGACACATTTCCTATCGTAATGATATAAAATATCTTAACGAAAGAACCCGACGGTCATGCGATCATTTGTGTTTGTTTTTTGTTTTTGTTTTTGTAATTAAAGAAATCACTTGCATAAGGAATAGCTCAACAAATCACTAAACTCACTTGAACTTACCTCTCTAAGATAGATACACGGATCATATCTTTATATTGCTTCTTGATTTGATTTATTGACCAATTTCCCAACATTTTGCCAATCAATATTACGTCGCACCTCCAGCGTTTCGAAACAATGCAAGTGCACCCACAAGCATGTACGGCGCTCCATAGTAGGATTGGTGTTGAATACTTGCTGAACTGTCACTCCTGTTTGAAACTACAAACCACCACTTGTCCAGGCACGGAAAACAAAACAGTACAGAATGCCTGTAGAAATATGTCATGTTATCAGGAGCGACAGCCACTAAACCTTAGTGATGGAAATATCACCTGACACAAAGTTATTTCCCTTCGATTTTTCTTCAAAAGAATAACAGCCTCATTACCCATAAGATGTGGATTAATAATGCCTAGGTAGCACTTTTTTTCAGCTCACTCGTTCTTTAATGATATCAAATGGTTAGAAAAGTTTATTTTCGGATAGAGATATTTAATGTAATTACCCGCGAAAGTAAAATAGTGCATTTAAAAATTACACCTGAAGAAATATGTACTACTTTATTTTTTCATCAATTCACCCCAAGCAAGACGATGACGCTGCTAAGACGCAAGAGGCTACTGCGAATGAAAGATTATGACAAAGACTTTAGAAGCAACCGGAAAGTCAGCGTTAAACAGGAAACAAGGGATAAAGCCCCACGCCTGTTCAAAAAAACAGGAAGGAGAGTGAACCTGATTTTAAATAACTCTGTCTCCTTTTATTGAGGACGAAAAGAATAGTAAATAATGTTTTAGAGTTTAGGTGGATACGTCTTAAGCTTAGACTTTAAAAAGAACTGGAAAGTCAATCCTAAGCAGGAAACAAGGTATAAATCTCTACCCCTGTTCAAAAGACCGGCAAGGTTTGTGAACTGGACGTTAAGTGAATCTGTCTAATTTTATTGAGGAAGAAAAGGATATTAATTAATGTTTTATAGTTTAGGTGAATACGTTTGAAGCATAAATCCGAAGTAGGCTTTAAAAGGAAATGGAAAGACAATCCTAAACAGGAAATAAGGGATAAAACTCTACTCCTTTTCAAAAGACCAGGGAAGAGTGTGAACCGGACGATACAATATGTCATCAAAACATGTCAGAGAAACCGCTTTAATCCAATAGACCATAACCAGAAAAAGCATCAACTTGCTTTCGTTTAATAAGCCGAAAAATTACTTCAATTAGAGATCACCGTAGTTTATCTTTACACAGTAAGTTATTAGATTATTTACCAGTGTTGTCTAATTCAAAATTCGAATCATTAATGTTATTTTATTTTATCCACGCTACTTCTGTTTATAAACACAGATTTATAAATAACATTACTTGCCTTGATAATGTTTCTCGAAGAACGAAACGCGTTGGCATAAAAGATTTCGCTTGTCTTTTCCTTTGGCCTATATTGTATTTACAAATACATCTATATATACATTTTACACACACACAAGCACAACATATATATATATATATATATATATATATATATATATATATATATATATATATATATATATATATGAAGGTAAAAGACAATAGGAAAACTGTATTATTAGCCGAAGCGTTTTCCTATTGTCTTTTACCTTTAAATACACCCTGAATATACCCTTGTATAGAACTACATCAATAAGTCCTTTCTTCCAATATATGAAATATTTTTATTACATATACAGCGAGTCTCATATAGATGTTTACATTCTGAAACCGTCTCAAGAAATGATTCAAGCATCCACACCCTTGTGAAAAAGTAATTGAAACAATGTCTTCAGTTTTCTTTCTTTCACAATACGGTCAGTCCACTGGAGTGAGAGGGTGTAATCGATTTCTATTTTTTTTTCCTGAGATTAAGTCATTTGCAGTGGTATGCAGTAATATGCATCTATTTTCGGGGTGTATGATGGCATTTTTTTGGCCTTGAAAAATATTGCGTCATCCATGATTACATCAGATTTTGATCACGCACAGATACTATTTTCTCGACTGTCGATTAGTTGTCCTATGGCCATTGTCTGCGACGGACGTCACTCCAAGGAAGCGTACGAAAATTGTAACGCTGCACGAACAGACTGAAAAGCCTTAACAGCGAGCAAATAAAGCTACTGTAGACTGGTTCGGAAGCTCTCCTGATTTAAATCCAATCGAAAATCTGTGGTCAATCTGCAGAGACATAGGAAGTACTGACATGTGCACTGGGACATGTTTCATTGGAAAAATACAAAAAAAAGTATATAATAACGGGATTATTCGTTTTCTTTCAGGGTGTAATTATTCAATAATATATTGTTACGTTGGTATATAGATTTATTTACTCCAAAGAAGTGTACTAAAATTGTAATGCTGCACAGATACTTTGGAAAGCCTTACCAGTGAGTAAATCAAAATACTATAGACTAGACCGGAAACTCTCCTGATTGGAAATCAATCGAGAATCTGTGGTCATTCTGCAAGGAACGACTACGTGGAATAGACATACTAAGTACAAAGATGTGCACTGGGTCATGTTTCATTCGAAAAATAAGAACAAAATGTAAATAATAACAGAATTATTCTTTTTGCTTCAATTAATTTTCACAAGGGTTTAGATGCTAGCCAATATTTTCATTTCTTTTAATTACATTCATATTATAAGATGTGAAGAAATTTGTATGGCCTTGAAAAATATTGCGTCATGTGTGATTGCATCAGCTTTTTATCACGTTCAGAAATTATTGTCTCGCTTCTCGATTAGTTGTCCTACTGCCATTGTCTGCGATGGACATTACTCCAAAGAAGCGTACGAAAATTGTAAAGCTGCACGAGAAGACCAGTGAGAATATCAAAAGTAGAGTAGCCAGGAAAGTCTCTCGATTTAAATCCAATTGAGAATCTGTGGCCAATCTGCAAAGAACGGCTTTGTGGAATGGACATACGATGTACTCACATGTGCAATGGGTCATGTTTCATTACAAAAATACGAAAAAATGTAAATAATAACGGAATGATTCGTTTTATTTCAATTAATTTGCACAAAGGTGTAAAACCAACTTTATCTAATTTAAATAATGCATATAACGACAATATTTATTATTTATTGAGATTTGGGCTTGTTTTCAAATTGATGTCCGTTTTGTTCCAGACATTTCTGACAACGCGAGGCAATGGAATCACCAATAGCAATCGACATTTCGATAGGTTTCTTGGACTTCTGTGAAAACTTTCCATTACCCTTTCTTTCTTCACAGGGCGTGGTTTATATCCGTAGTCTTCCGGAACGGTTATTGTGCACATTGTCTACCGTCAGCATTTTATCTCTAATTCCTGAGATTGTAAGCCGTGTGGGTGGATCTGATTGAAACTCTTTCATATCGTCTTTGAACTTCAACTGCATTTTCGTACTTCCATTAACATTTCAGGATGAACTTTCTTTGTTCAAAGCTAAGCATGCATGACATTAGTAATACTAACATTTAAATCTGAAAAAAAGTAAGTTTGACTTGAGCTATACACTATAAAACAGTGTCTATATTTTTGAGATACCCTTTAATTATCGAGTTAATATCCTGTCTTGTCAATTTAAATAAAGCAAGAATTTTCGATTAATTATACACATACACAAACACACACACATACAATATATAGCTGGCCACTCGTATTCGAGGATATCCGTCTACTAGCTAATCCCTATTGCAGACGCTTTCTCAGGCGTATTTGCGTTTATTCACCTACAACTATACTGAGCAGACATTACTTACAGTTTTGGGGGAAAAAAACTACCCAATTTCACTCACAATGCTTGGGTCAACCCGTGGTATGATTTTCAGGCACTTTTCAAAGGCCCCGCACGCTGGGATTAACTCCCACCAGTCCGCTAACATCATGAAGTCTCCTTCCTGACAAATCGACCATGGTGATATTCGAAACCGGGTCTCATGGTCAGTATGCAAACGTTCTAACAACTCGGCCACGTGCACATACACGCATACTGCTGTGGCCTGTTTAGGGGCCAGAAAGAAAGACACAGGAGACGAAGGTAGGTTGAACAAGTTTATTGAAATAACAGATATATACAAAGCAAGAGTATTAGTAAT